TCCTGTTAAAATCCCACTTTGGTAAAACCCAGCCTTCTGTTGACGCTGTGTCCGCCCCTAGCAACAGAATATAATTGGAGACAAACACAACCCTGCTGGCCCATTTCACATTAAATTCTCGACTATAAATCCAGATATGTTTCTCTAGCCATCTAAGTCTTACTCTCCTAGATAACCACTTTGACTGCTCTTCACCTCCTTTCCTCAAACTCCTGGCCCAGGGATCCTCAATTTGGCTGCACTGTTGAATCACCCAGAAATCTTGAAAACACACCACTGCCAGCCGCCCACCCCCAGAGAATCTGATTTAGCTGATGTGGAACCGGGCCCTGGATGTGAGTTGTGCTTTTAAGACTCTCCAGGTGGTTCTGATGTACAGCCAGGACCGAAAGCTAAACAGCTCTCCCCTTGCATCGGGTATAGCCGCTGACCCTGCCTCCCACTTCACTAGGAAAACCAAATCAGAGAGGAAAGAATGCTGCAGACTTCCACTACATCTATGGATGTGCATACACGGAATCTTTACTCCACTTTCTCTGCGCGAAGATGAAACCTTCCTCTTGTTCGTTCCAGCTCACCACCTTTCAAGCCATCAAGGACCTGCTTTGGCAACTGTTCCCTTTCTCACCTGCATCTCTCCTATATCCTCCCTACGGAATCATTCCTACAACCACTCAAACATCTGATTTAGAAAAAAATCTCTCCCTCTACCCCTTATCTTCTTTGGAACCTCCCCTTTCTCTCTTCTCTTTGAAGCAAAACTCTTCTAAATTTGTCTTTATTCAATACCCCCATTTCTTTTCCCATTCTCAAACCCACTCCAATTTTAGTTTTGTCATTTCGTTGACAAATCCAGAGGTTAATTCTCAGCCCTCTTACTACATCTCTTAACAGCATTTGACAGTCAGTTATTCCCTTCCTCCTTGAAATTCTTTATTAGCCTCTAGGACCCTCAACTCCTATCTTCTCTCTCTCCCTTTTTTTTTCTTTTTTACAGACAGAGTCTCTGTCACTCAGGCTGGAGTGCAGTGGCATGATCATAGCTCACTATAACCTCCAGCTCCTGGGCTTAAGAGATTCTTCCCACCTCAGCCTCCCAAGTATCTGGGACTATAGATGCATGCCACCGTGCCCAGTTTATTTTTTAATTTTAATTTTTGTAGAGGTGGGGTCTTGCTATGTTGTCTAGGCTAGTCTTGAACTTCTGGCCTCCAGTGATCTTCCTGCTTCCACCAAAGTTTTGGGATTACAGGCATGAGCCACAGTGGCCAGCCACAAATTGTCTTATAGTTGGTTCTGGGAAGGTGGAAATCCTAGTGCAGTCATCACAGTTTGAGCTTATGCAGACTTTGTCACTATTCCTAGGGCATGCCTGGCCTTCTCACCCCTTGATGTGCCAGGTCATAGGCCTCCTGAGGTCTCTTGGAAGAAGGAACATAAATCTAGTTATTGTGTAAAAACCTTGGATTAGGTAAAATAAAACAGAACAAAACAAAACAAACAAAACACCAGCATCAAGCAATGCAGAATGAGAGGCCCATTGCTTGGATGACCTAGGAGCACTGTTATAAGAGACATGGCATCCCAAAAGCTCTGGGTGACTCAGAGAAGCACATTGTGGGGAAAACCTGGGCATTGATAACTCTGAGTTAGAAAATAAACAAGGATAGTGAGATTCTGAGTGGAAAATTAGCAAAACTTTAACCAATTATTTTAACTTACATTTTTATATTTATGTATGCACTAGAGCGACACATAATAAAAATATGTCCAACTAATTATCAAAGAGCTTTCTCAATAAGTTTAAATTAAAATTAGAAGTAAAAAGAAAACATTGTATCACAGTTTTCTATGGTAGGTAGCATTTTTTCTTTCTTAGTGATACATAAAACAATTGTGCATTATACCATGAAAGGAGGCTTAGGCTTAATGAAATATGGCACTTAGGCCCTGTTACATAAAAGTAAGAACCACTAGTTTAACAAAACCTAAGGCATCTACTACACAATGAATTGCTTTTAATACCTTGAGCTCTTTGGGAAACCCATAAACCAGAAGCTCAATATTAACCTTAAATTAGTTAATTATATTTCATAGTTAAATTATTTGGAAGATGATTTCAAATAACTCAAAGTTAAAAGACCTCAGTGTAATATGGATTCTATAATTATCCTCACAATGTTACTAATAAAAATGATGTAGAATCATAATGGCAACATCAAGTACGAGGATGCCAGCCAGATGAGAAAGTTTTTTGTTTTCCAATTCTTTTTTCTCCTCTCCCTTCCTTTCACCACAATAAAAAGCAGTCACCTGTCTTCACAGGTTGGAATATTTTCACTTTTCTTGTTTGGAAACACTTGCTTAAATAAAGTAACATGCTAAAAACTCTAAGCTGAAATAGTCATCTTATTTTTATTTGACAAGCTTTGAAGTAACAGTTTGATTTATCAGAGGGTTTCTCTTGTGACCATATAATCCTCTTCTCAATATTGCATCCTGTGTGAGCTACAAACATTTGTGAGCCTAGGAAACACAAAGGCCCCACAGTTTCCTTGGGATTGGTACCATACAAGTGCAAATTAGGGATAATGGAAGGCTGTCCATCCATCCTTATCACTGTTACTGCTTTGCTCTCTGCTTGCTATGGGTAGCAAAGCAACTCATTGTGTTTAAAACACACACCTTAGCTGCTGACTTTTTCACTGGCTAGCTGGAGAAGAGAAGAAACTCACTCATTCATACAGATTTTAACCCTCTGGATCACATTCAACTATTTTGTAATAGATAACAGGAAAACTTGCAGGAGTCTTACCCAATTCCTAATTGCAAGATTTGAACTTGAACTATGCAGTCTTATTTTGCTCGTGGCCTCTTCAACCTATGCTTCACCATGACCCTTTCTGATAAGTCTTCAAAATCTTCGAGATGGTTAGCCCAGGTATGTTGGAAACCAGCCCTTTTCTGTGGCATAGTTCTTCCAAGGGAGTTGAAATGCTTTGCAAACACTTTCTCATTTATCAGCCAATCCACATAACTAGCAATGTCTGTGAATCCTTTCCTTTTATATATCATCTGTTAGTGATTATCATGGAGGCATGCCTGTGCAGAGCGCCTGGTTCGGGAGGAGGAACCACAGGGACTGGAGAAGGGAGGGCATGAGTGAAGGTTCCTGTTTGACACTAGAATTGACCTCACTTAGTGGCAGAATGGTCCTTCCTCCTTTCATGCATGTGTAGAAGTAGCAACATGCGTCTCCCTTTTGTGTAATTATCATTTAGTTAATGCCCAGGAGGATTTGTAAGCCCTTCACATCTCCAAGGATTTATTTTATTTCAGAGTGAAAGTGACTTTATGACCCAATTACCATTAACGTGACTTACTGCACTATTTGAGGGAAGGGAGCACGAAGACAAAGTCTGATTGATGTTTGGGCCATCAACAAGATGACCACCAAACGTTCCTGCCCGAGAAAGAGGGGCGGAGGGAACATTTCTGTTCTATTGTTTATCAAAGCACTGGAGCCCGGGTGACCGTGCAATATTTTAATAGATGACTGTGCAAAGCATGTGTGTGAAGGAGACGTTCAATGGATGTGTTAGAGTAATCGATGTTTGGTAGTAATGAATATTTTGAGTTCAAGAGATGTCAAACGTCAAAGATGACAAGAAATGACTGTACACCTAATTGCGTTACAGCCACCCTTACATTATGAGGACATTGAAACGAGACTGAGTTAGTATCTGACCCCAGAAATAGACCTGCGAGGCAGGCTCCTAATTATGGCAAGACTCCGGGAAGCCCGACAGCCCCGGTATTTACAGGAGCGCACGGCGCCGCGGGGGTGACCCACGGGAGGCAGCGGCAGCCTCAGGAGAGGTGACCCTGGGACCCACGCCTACCTGGAGCGTCTCCGCAGCGCCTGGTTCAGAACCACCGGCGCGGACAGCTCCCCGGGCTGGCGCGACTGCGGGAGGACGCGGAGCCGGGTGGGCCCGCGCTCCGGTCCGCGGACTCGGCGGGAGGAAGGCCCCACCGAGCACCCCTTCCCCAGCCCTCCCGGACCCCGTCCCGACCCGGCGGGCTCGCGGGGTCTGTCGGGGCCGTCCCGGGGGCGAGTCCCGCAGGAGCCGACGGGCCGGAGCCGGCCGCGGCCGCTCCCCGCCCCGCCCCGCGGAGAGGCCGGGCGTCCCCGGCGCAGGCCCCGCCCGCCCTCCCGGCCGCCGCCGCGCCAGGCTCCCCATTGGCCGCGGGCGGAGGTGCGAGAGGCGGGCCGCCGGCGGCGGCTCGGCCCGGGAAGGTCGGCCGGCGCTGCTGCGGGAGGGAGCGCGGATCGCGGAGCGCAGCGGCGCCCGGTCGCGGCCGCAGCCCAGCCCGCCCCAGCCCAGCCTCTGCCGCGGCGCGCAGCCCGCGGTGCCGGAGCTCCGAGGGCGCTTCCCGGCCCGGGCCCGCGCGGCAAGACGGCGGCCGGCGGGCGCGGGGCGCGGCGCTGTGCTGCGGCTGCGCTGGTGGGCGGCGGGCCGCGCGCGGGCCCGGGCCCGGCGCGTGCGGGCTGGAGGCGCTGTGGGCGCGGGCGCGCGGGCGGCGGCCGGGCCATGGCGAGGCGGCGGGCGCGCGGAGGAGGGCGCCGGCGCTGCTCGAGGCGGCCCGCGCGCGCTACGAGAGCCTGCACATCTCGGACGACGTGTTCGGCGAGTCGGGCCCGGACAGCGGCGGGAACCCCTTCTACAGCACCTCGGCCGCCTCGCGCTCCTCCTCGGCCGCCTCCTCGGACGACGAGCGGGAGCGCCCCGGCCCCCTGGGGGCCCCCGCCGCCCAGCCGCCGGGCTCCGCGGACTCGCTGGGCCCGGAAGACGACGAGGCCAGCGCGGGCTGGAGCAACGCGCTGCGGGACCGCCCGCCCCCGCGCTTTGAGGACACTGGCGGTAAGGGGCGGCCTGCGGGGCGGGGTGCAAGGGCGCGGCGCCGGGACCCCCACTTGGACCCCCGGGGTGCTGTGCCCGAGAGCCGTGGGCACCGGGGCGCACGGACTGCAGATGCCCCCTGTGCTGGCTTGACTGTGGCAGCTGCGCCTTCAGGACGCAAATGCAGTTTCGGGGAGCTGGGACTGAGTGCGAAATTAGTCTCACCTGGGGGCTCCACGTCCGTGGGCGAAGGGGATGCGATGGAGGCCGTGGCTAGCGCTTCCCCGATGAGGAGAGTCTGCCTTCCCTTGCTGGAGTGTCCTCATGTGCTGCCCTGGAAGCCAGTCACACCTGTGGGGTTGGACTTTAGGGGCCGCTTAAAGTTAGGCTATCCTAGTTGCGTGATTCTGACAGCCTGCTTGGCTGGGGTGGGGGAGAGCGGATGGGAGATGTTTTGCGGTGATGGCCAGAGAGCAAGCCTTACCCAGGTGACGGAGTGAGGCAGGTAGCAGTTGGAGCGTGGCCCAGTGAGAGCTGAGGGACGGGCCACCCATGGCGTCTTTACTGGGCTTAGTGTTCTGTTAACCTGAGAACTTTCCCTTGCTAAGAACCCTGGAGGAAGGAAGAGACGGATTCAGCAGCGTTGATGCAGGTGCATGCTCTTACCCCAGCAGGTACTGTCCGTGTGCTCTGCTTTCCACTGTGGTAATAGCCGAGCCGGGAATACCTGGAGACGGTGGCTGACTACAGGCAGCTGCAGCGGCCCCAAGGCTTCCTTACTGCTTGCTTTTGTGGGTTGGCTTTATAAGATCAGTACTTACCCTGCCTAACCTCAGCAGCCTCTGCCTTCTTTGAAGGGTGGAGACCAGCCCTCTGCAGCCACCCTCTGATGCTGTTTTCCTTGCTCCATGGCCTTCTGTGGCAGGCCCATGTTCCTGCACACTGTGTTCTTCCGTGGAAATGCATGCAACCAGTGTTGATAAAGGCCAGGGAGTGGCCTCTGTGGGCTTGATGCCGCTAGCCACTTTTTCTGTGGTTTTCTCTGATTATTGTTCAACCTGTCAGGAACATGGCACACAGAAGAGCAGGCCCAAGGAACCTCTGGCTGGTGCTGGGACTTGAATCTGGACATGATGCTGCAGCCTGCAGGGAGGTTGGTAGGGCTGGTTGGACTCTGTGAGCAGGGAGTGGTTTGCAAACCTTCGGCAGACTGCGCCGGTGTAGTTGCACGGAGCTACAGCTGGGCTTGCAAAGTCGGAGTTAGCTGTGCAGTGCTATGGGGTGGGTAAATGTGCATTGTGCATTTGAGCTGTGGTTAAGAGTTTGGGAATTTTCAGAATCGCTCACTCTGTATGGTCCTTTTATACCACCATACATTTTCTAGGATGTCATTAAGTTCTTCCTGCCCTGGACAGCTGTTTTCCATATTGGCTATTTAAGAATTATACCAGTCCAGTGTCTGGTTTGGCAGACTCTATGCCTTGAGTATCTGTGCTCCAGTTCTGGTCTTGGAACATTTGAGATACAAGTCCACCTGGGAGAATATAGCAAGTCTGTCTATATCTCTAGGCAAAATAGGGAACTTGTGCTAGGTTAAGCCTGGTTATGAATAAGAATCATGAGTGTGCTGGTGTGAAAAGGGTGAGCACACTGAAATACGTTTAAAAGCAATCTTATATTTCTTGGTAACCTTTAAATCGGTGAAATTCTGCAGCACGGACATTTAATCTGGCCACTGCAGCACTTATGGTCATGAAGAGCAATATCGTGTGTCATTTGGCATTAGGTTAAAATTCTACTTCCTGCAGATGCCCACTGAGTTCACACCTGGACCTAAGAATCACAGTGAAGCTCTTTAACCAAAGACTTTAGTGGTTATTTGTTTTTTTATACCCAGTTTCATTTTCCTGTTCTGTGTGGGAGTTTGCCTTTGAAATCCAGTTCTAATTTAGAATTTCTTCTTTTTGCAAATTTCTCCCTGAGGGAAATTTGGGGTGAAGAGGTGTGGTGAGATGAGGTTGATGGCTTGTTAAGCTTGAATTCAGTCTTCCCTGAAACACTGGAATATGGCTTATGGGGGCTGAAAATAGATGCAGAAGTATGGGGTTGGTCAGAGAAAATCTTTGCACCTACCAGCATGGAGAGAGATGGATGTGTTTGTCAAGAGGCTGAGAGCTGCACCCCAGCCACTCTGAGAGCCAAGAGGTTCAGCCTGCTAGGTTTACCAGAGTGCAGTATCTAAGACACTCCAACAAGCAAGCGTTCTGTACTTGCAAGGAATGCAGCCTGGATCTCTTTTCCATCTTTCTTCCTCAGTTTATTAACAGATCTCACTGGGTGGGTAGAGTGGGTTGGGTAGGAAAGTAAGCTGGTAGCATTTCCATCTGTACCCAATCAGGCTTTATAATAGAAAATTTGTAATCCAAATAGCTGTTGCTTCTGGAATCAAATGAGGAAAGCACAGGATTCCAGATTTATAGAGGAAGCTTCCTGCTTTGCTCTATGTACACTGTGAAAACAGGTGTACATGTACTTACATAGATGTGGATTTTATGTAAATGTGCATGTAAGTAGATGTGTGTACGTCACTGTATCATGCATAAACGTTTTTTGCTTGTGCTAGTTTGGGCTAAATAGGGGTTTTTTTTTTTTTAATCAGAAAAAGATTATAACTGCTGTCTCTGAGCTCTGAGTGACCTAGAAACCTTTGCAGAGAGTGCTGTGCAGGAGGGGATAGACACTGAGGACCAGTGTGCATTGAGCTGTAGTTGGAGCCACCATATGCTCCACCTTGTGGAGGGAGTGCACACAGTAGGGACGTCCTCGGTGCCCAGCTGAGAGGAGGAGGGGAAGGGATGCAGCAGTGCTCAATCCTGTGCCAGCCCTAATAGCTGCATTTCTATAGTTAAGGTTGGAAATCCCAATCATTCCTCAGGCTGTTCTAGTGTTCCCAGCCAATTCCTTCTGTTTTCAGCATATTTTGCTTCCTAGATCAGCCGCTCAGGAAGTGCAACCAACAATTACTGGTGGAGAAGGGCCTCTGCCACCCCTCTGTCTCCTTTCTCACCTCCCCCTGGTTCTGGCTGTGCTTTGAGGTGTGAGTCCCCTTGGGATGACAGAAACACAAGCCGTGTGCTTGCAGGGCTGGCTTGACAGGCTCTTAACCCTTGCATGGCTGGGGGGTCGGCCTGGGAGCTGACATGCTTACTGGGAGTGCAGAGCCCATAACCCTCCCTAAACCAGACTTGCTGCACATGCTTCTAGAATAGCCCCTCAAGCTGTGGGCTTCCCCTGCCCACTGCTGATAACCAACACAGCATGGGAGCTCACTCTTTAGAAATAGCTTGAAATTCAGGCCTGGCTGCTTTTTGAGTCTCTGCCCTTTTGGTTTCTTATTCTGAGCAGTCTTGTGATTTGGAGGAGGCAAAGGAACTGACGGATTCACAGATGCTCAAGGACTCTTGTCTGCTTGGCTCTGTCGGTCCTTTGTCGTGACTGGCTGGGATCTGAGCTGTTCGATCTTTCTGTTAGAGATCGGGCTTCATAGAAGAGGTTGGTTCTGTTGTTGCTGTTTTGTTTTTTTACCCATGTACCATATTAGCAACCCTCTAATCATTCAGCAAGGAGGCATGACCTTGAGAAGCTGGAGAGGAACATATGGCTTTGGAGATTGGCATGTTTGAATGTTTTATCTTTAGAGTTTGATTTATGTGGTTTGAAGTCATTTTGACAGGAAGAGAAAAAGCGGTTTGTAAGCTCAGAGCCCTGGAGCCCTGTCTGTGGCGTGAAGTATAAGCAGCTGCTCCTGTCTTTAGCTCTGTGCCACGTTCTGTGGTTCCAGGGAGATCTTTGAATCTTGGTGAGCTAAGGCAATGCTACGTAGTAATTAAGCTCAAGCCGGTGTCATCTTGCAGTGGCCACATAAGATTCAGAGAAGGGAGCTTCCTGGGAGAGCCGTTTTGCTCTTTTCCCAGGAGTCTGTCCATGTGGGGGTGAAACTTGAGTTGTCGCTGCTGCTGACAACAGCAGTTCTCATTTGTCGCTTGCTTTTGCAGGCATTGTCACACTTAATCTTCACTAGAACTCTGTGGTGAGTACTTGCCATTTCCACTTCACAGAGGAAGGACAGATGTGTCTTTTTGGTCTGGGGGTGCTGAGATTACCTGGTTAATTGATCACTATCCAACTAGTCAGACTCAATAAATCAGGAAAGGGAATGTTTTTTTTTTTCTTTAACTAGAACTTTTTTCAGTCAAGAATATTTATTTTCATAGTTAAAAATGAATTGCTTTTAACTTTTTTGGGGGGAGGGTATGTAGTTCTGGCAGTTTTAACACATGAATGGATTTTTTAAATCAACGCCACAATCAAGACACAGAAGAGAAGATTCTAGAATTTTATCTAGCTCCTTATTTAATCCTTGCCACCCTTGAGCCCTCCTAGTGGGAGCTTAGGGCTGTTTTGCAGGAGGTGGGGCTTTGAATACTCTGGAACACAGTGATTTACTTGAGGTCTAATCTCAGTCTTAGTGTCGGAAACTCACCTTTATTTTTAAGAGCTGTGATTACATATTTTTTCCTCTTAACAAGTAATATACATTTATTTTAGAAAATAAAAAGAAAAATGATAAAATTTAAAAAGACTATTATCTTTCATTACCCAGAGATAACCACAGTTGACTTACTGAATATATACTTCATATATCTTAGGTTACATATGGTTGGTATACCTGATTTTTAATTATAATTAATATATTGTGAACATTTTCCATTTAAATTTTAAAAAGCCATTTTACTAACTATGTAAGACTCTGCAGTTCCCTTTGGTTAGAACTGAGTTTATTGCCCCACTTCCCCCCCCCCACTTTTTTTTTTTTTTTGCTATTAAATCAATGCTATGATGAATATTATTCAAGGTTAAGTTTGTGTACACATCCTTAATTTATTCCTTAGCATGAAATGATCAAAATAATATTGAAGTAAGGATTTTGCACATTATTTTGAGACTTTTTATATCTTTTGTGAAAGAGCCTTCCAGAAATGTGCCGCTTTATGCTCCTGCCGACAGTGTACCGGAGAGTCTATTAGAACATCTTTTTGCTTATGAGGCAGCAAACTAATCCCACCAGTAGGGTGGCTTTTAGAGGAGTACTTCATTTGAGGAAGCTTATTGGGGTATAGCACAGAGAGTGCATGAGTCATTAGTGCACAGCACAGCGAATTCTTACCTGGGTACATCCATGTCACCACTGCCCAGATTGGGGTAAAGAACATTCCCAGCACCCTGAAGGTCCCCCCTCGTCCCTTCCCAGTCAGTACCTCCCTGCTCCCAGAGACAGCCATTATTCTGAGTTTCATCACCGTAGGTTAATTTTGCTCATTATATTGTTTGATCTGTAAGATGCAGCCATATTATTGCATGTAGTAGTCATATCTTTATATTGCTGTGTAGTATTCCATTGTACATGTATGCTACAGTTTATCCAGTATCCTATCAGTGGGCCTTTAGGCTGTTTCCAGTTTGGGGGCTTTTATGAGTAAGGCTGCTATGAACATTCTTGTATGTGTTTTTTTGGTGGACATACACATCATTTCCCTTGGTCGTATGTACGTAGGAGTGGGATTGCTGGGTCATGGGTTAGGTGTCTGTTTGCCTTCAGTATAGTCTTTCATTT